CAGTTTCTTCCTCAAATGTCTCCTCATATCAGAAAAGTTACCCCTTTTAAAGTTAAAACTGGTTATGTCAGTCTTTTTGGCCAATTTCCTATTTATACAAATGTTGAACTCAATAACATTATGGTCACTGTTCCCAAGTGGTGCAATCACTTTTACATCTCTCACTGGGTCTTGGGCATTACTTAGGACCAAATCCAGGATCGCCTCTCCCCTGGTAGGTTCTGTGACCATCTGCTCCATAGCACAGTCATTAAGAGTGTCTAGAAACTCCATCTCTTTTTCCCGACTAGAACACATATTGACCCAATCAATGTGTGGGTAGTTAAAATCACCTATTATGACAAAGTTTTTTTGTCTAGCCGCTATCTTTAATTCATTCATCATTTTATAATCCTCCTCTACATTTTGATCTGGTGGGCGATAACAAACTCCCAGTGTTAAGCTTCCTTTTGGGCCTGCTATTTCAATCCATAGCATTTCCAGAAGCAAATCCAATGCAGACTTCCCCGTCCACAAGGCAGCAGCCATTCAAGCTCTACAGCATTCTTTCCCAAATATTATAGGAAAGCAGGTTTGGAAAAGATCACAGTGAAGAGGAAAACCTGGACGGTGTGTGAAAGTACCACAATGCTGTGGGGAACCAGGAAAATAACAGCATCCAAGCTGGGGCAACCACCTCATCTCTAAGGGACCAGCATCTCAGAATATTCATGTTCAGAGTTAGATCCTGTGAATAATTTCTGTTAATGGAAGAGGGAAGATGATCTTCCCCCTTCCAATGCAGATGTGCAAACCTTTGTGTTTCTCCTGGGCATTCCTCCCCCAGTAACTCTTTCAATAGGGCATTTCTGGCTGCAGCAGAAGAGTCAAGGGAGGGAAGTCATACTTCTGTGCATGGAATTTACATAGGATTAGGGGTGAACACTTAAAAATAATATGGTTATAATTCTGTATTGGAAAGTTGGGAAGGACCCTCAGACAGTCCACAGGTCATTCACCTATTAAATTTTAGAAGGCCACTATGTCACTGTCTAGTAGACCTAGCCTATGGATTCCACCCATTAACAATATTTGCCCTTGAAAGTTAAAAGGGCCAATGTCCAGCAGACCAGCCGGGGAGTACTCCCTCCTACATAGGTATTCCTGCCTCCCCAACATGATTCCCAACTCTGATATTATCAGAAGTGGGTTGGGGGACATATTTTGTGGTATCATATATTGCCAACCAATCTGATGCTGCAAATATTGGGCATTTTATCAGGTCAGCCATATCTGATTGCACTCCCCTACATAGGATCCAACTTGATGCTCTTTGAATTCTCCTGGGAGCTGCATTTCATGGACACTGTGTGGGCTGCAGCAGGAGGGGGGGGAGGAGGAAGTTTTTCTCTACTGGGAAAAGTCGACTTTGGGGAATAGAATTTCACTTCTGGCTTGGATCCAGCAGAGTGTTTCTGTGGGTGGAAGGATTTCAGCCCATGTAGCACACCTTTCTCACCTCCCTCTCCAGCCCCAAATGACCCACAAAATGCTGTTGTTGGCATTCCTAGGAACATTGTATTTTGGGGGTGTATTTTGGGCTGCAAGGGGGAGGCAAGCAGGTTGTACCCTGTAAACAGAAATCCTTTGGACCACAGAAACTCTCTACAGGATCCAAACTCCTGACTGGTATTGAAATTCTTCTGGTCAGTTACTAAGAAATGTTTATAGTTTTTTTCATGTATATGCCAGCTGAAGCTGCAGTCTGCTATTACAGGCATAAACAGGGCTAATCTATACATACAGCTGTCTTTTATGTGCTGAAATAGCTTTGTGCTTTCTGCATGACAGATTGCCTCTACATGCTCATCCTACATGATCATCCTTTTATTTGTTTGTTTGTTAGTTATAACATGTATGTTCCACTTTTCCTCATGGTTCAAGATGGTTACCTGTGTATATGTACAACTATGTGATAATTTGATTATCCCAATACTTTGAGTTGGATACTGCTAGCATCAGTGGAAGGCCATGATGTTTGCTGATCTTCCTGATAACGTCTCATATTTGAACCTAGACTCGTAGAATCATAGAGCTGGAAGGGACCTCCAGGGTCATCTAGTCCAACCACCTGCAGAATGCAGGAAATACCTCCCCCTCCACAACAGCAGTGACTGCTATTCCATGCCCAGGAGATAATAAAAAACCTCTCCAGGATCCCTGGCCAAACTGGCCTGGAGAAAATTGCTTCCTGACCCCAAAGTGGTGACCAGCATTTCCCTGGGCGTGTAAGAAAGGACCACAAGAACTAAGCACTGAGGCAACCCTTCCTTCCCTCCCTCTCATGATCTGCTGAAGTTCACACAATCAGCATTGCTGTCAGATGGCCATCTAGCCTCTGTTTGAAAACATCCAAAGAGGTTTTCAACCTGTCCAGGAGAAAAAAATATATCTCAAATAGTGGAGTGCAGTAAAATAAAATTGGTACAGGATGGTAAACTCTGTACACACAAGTCATCTAGCTAAGTTGAAAAAGAGATACACACAAAGACCTTGCTTTACACAAGCATGGATGGATTCATGCATATTTGGTCACCTCACAGCTGAAGTACTTTTATGTTAATAAAAACCCATGCCCATGAGATCTCAGTGGTTAAGAGTGTCGGACTAGTATCTGGGAGACCTTGGTTCGAATCCCCAATCTGCCATGGAAGCTCACTGGGTGGCCTTGAGCCAGTAACACTGTCTCAGCCTAACGTACCTTACAGGGTTGTTGTGAGGATAAAATGGAAGACAGGAGAATGATATAACCCACTTTGGGTCCCATTGGGGTACAATATAATTAAATAAGCTCTTGATTCAACAGCTGCAGTGTGCAAAAATAGATCTATGACTGTTTGTTATCACTGATCTCAAAAACAGTTCCAAATGACATCCATATCACTAATCACTCAGCAATTGTGTCAGGAAAAAACCCTGATCCTGCTATGCAGATTTCAGCAAAAACTACAGTTTAAGAATTGTCTGCCAAATTATGGAGGCTCTGGTGGAAACAAACAAAATTATTAGATTGTGGAAGTGGTAACAATACTTATCAATGCAGTACTTTTTAATGTTCACAATGCTCATATGTTGTTCTAGTCACTGTTTCAACAGCCTTCCAAGATTAACATTATTATCCTTGTGTTACGGATGGTGGGCTGGAGAGTGGCTTGCTAAAGGGCCGATCATGATACTATTCTATTACAATGTTCCTTCAACAATACTCTAAAAGGTGAAGTTTGAATACACTTTTCATTGCAGTTGTAGACAAATTGGAACAGGTTCTGAGGAAGGCTGCAAAAGAGGGAGGGGATAGAACTCTTCCTATAACTGAAGGGCTGTCATAGGGAATTAGATAAGCAGATGGAGCAGAGGTATCCTTGTGTTACGGATGGTGGGCTGGAGAGTGGCTTGCTAAAGGGGCGATCATGATACTATTCTATTACAATGTTCCTTCAACAATACTCTAAAAGGTGAAGTTTGAATACACTTTTCATTGCAGTTGTAGACAAATTGGAACAGGTTCTGAGGAAGGCTGCAAAAGATGGTTAAGGATCTAAAACATAAGTCTGGCGGTTGAATGAATTAGGTATATTGAACATGACGATGAGAAAAGGGGAGGGGATAGAACTCTTCCTATACCTGAAGGGCTGTCATAGGGAAGAGACCAAGGACTTGTTCTTTGCTGCTCCAGAGGGCATGACAAAAGAGTTTAAGTTACATGAGGGTAGATTTCAGCTGAACATTGGGAGAAATGTCTCAACAGAAATAACAGTTCAACAATGGAACCAATGAGCTGGTTGGGGTGTCATTAGAGGTCTTCAATCAGAGGCTAGACAGGTATCTGTCCAGGTCAGGATGCTCCTGAATATGATTTCCTGTATTGAGCAAAGCATAGATAAAATGGCCTGTAGGCAGTGTTCCTTCTAAGCTGTGCTAGGGGGTGCTGGCACACAACATTTTAGCTAGCTGCTCAGACAATTTAGCTTCCAGCTCAGGAGCGTTTTCCCCTTCATTGGATGGGGACACCTCATTCTGGAGCCCCTAGAAATAGACTCCTTAGTCTAAACTGGGGGGGGGGGAGTTAGGACAAAACGGGTTTCGCATTGTTTCTTTTAACTCACAGTTGTTGTCCTTCTTCAAAGAAGTCTGCTGACGAAGAATTTATGCCGGTAATCCGGCTCGATCGGCCACTATAGAGTTGCTTGGCACTTGCCTTCTTCGTGGGAGGAGGTCAAAGCCCAATTCAGCTTCTTCCGAAGCTGGATTACGCCAACCTCACACTCCCTCTAGGGCGCTGCTGCCTGCTTGTCCCCCCCCCTCGCTGGGGAGTGATGCGTTGGGCTGTATATTGCCCAAACTGTTGAAAGTGGCCGTCGCTCGCTTCGCACGATCGCGAAACGCTTCAGTCCTCCATCTTAGCCAGACCGGAAGCTGGTATTTTTTTAAGGCTTGGTGAAGGGTGATGGTCTGAGGCCAGGTCTACCAATATAGTGGACTGGGGTGGGTAGACCTGTTCTCTGGAGGCCTGGTCTACCCCCGCAGAAGACAGTCTTTTCTGTAATGAAATTTGACTTGATTCTGTTTTCTCTTATAATGTTTAAATTATTGTTAAAATATAGTTTAAATATAGTTTAAAAGAATTTATTCTGAGATTTTTAAATTATGAAAAATAATCTTCTAAGAAACTAATTTATGTGATAGTCAAATGTAGACTCATTCACAACTTTAATGCTACTAGCTTTTTTCACTCATGGCAGAATTTTTGCTCACAACACTATGGAGCTTAGAGGGAACATTGCCTCTAGGGCCCCTTCCTACTCAATAGCTGCATCATTGATTAAAATGGCTATTTGGAAATAAAATATGCTCAGACTTTGCTTCTGTGATTGTATCATCATTTATTTTCAGGTGCTTTAATCTTGGTATAATCTCCTAGATTCCCCAAGGACTGCATGCTGATTTCTAATTCTGCCAGATCATTTTTGCAACCCATATTTTGTAAAAAGTTTCCTCAGTGCCCCTAACACGTCCCGATTCCTCAGGCTGTATATGAAAGGGTTCATCATGGCAGGGAACAGGGTGGTGAACACTGAGTTAATTGTGGCCTTTTGTGCTGAATAGGAGGATACAGGTGTCATGTATGTCAATATGGATGCTCCATAGAAGAGCCCCACCACAAACAAATGAGACAAGCAGGTGCCCAAAGCCTTGTAGCTTCTCTCAGAGGAGCGAGCCCTCAGGACTTGCAGGAGGATGGCTATGTAGGAAGCAAGGATGACTGTGATGGGGAGGAGAAATGCCAGGAAATCTCCAAGATAAGTCGCCTTTTCAAATGCCGAGGTGTCAGAGCAGGAAAGCTGCATAAGGGCCATATACTCACAAGCAATATGGTAAATCACATTAGACCTGCAGTAGGGAAGAGGCAGGACATAAACAGCACAGCACAAGGCCTGCACAGAAGACCAAACCCAGACACCCACTGACAAGATGTAGCAGATTTTTCTCCTCATGAGGATTGGATACTGCAGAGGCCTGCATATGGCCACATACCTGTCATATGACATGGCTGCCAGGATGAAGCATTCTGCTCCTCCTAGGACCAGTGTTACAAAAATCTGGGTGACACATCCATAGAGTGAAATCGTATACTTCTGGGTAACAAAATTCACTGTCACTTGCGGAACAACTGCTAAAACCTGACAGAGGTCCATAAAGGCTAACTGGCTGAGGAAAAAATACATTGGGGTCTGCAGACCAGAGTCCTTTTTAATGAGAAACAGAAGGAGGCTGTTTCCGAGCAGAGCAATAGCAAACATGAAGAGATCCACACCAAGAAAGATGGTGGGTGATCTTTGCTGCTGGAGTCCAACAAGAACAAATTCTCTCCATGATGTATTCTCTTCTCGCATTTCCCTTTCATTTGCCCATATTTCATCTGTAGAGATAAGGAGATAATTTGTGGGGATGAAATTTATACAGTGACAACATTTAGGGACATCCTTCCTTGTTTTTAATCAATAAAATGTGTTATAAAATATAATATGCTTAGAAGAACTTATGCTTTTCTTCTCACAATATTGTTTTGAATTGCATTTGTTCTGTTCAATAGAATATGAATAGAGCAGTTGAGCGGCATGCATGGAAGCTCTTTTTAAACACCAAAATCCCACCAAACAGCAGTAGGACGCTGCACCTTTGTTTAAATGGCCTTCTTTTCTCTAAAGATGGCTAACGAATGGCAAAAAAAATTACAATATAACCCATAGAACCATCAGTTGACAACACTGAAGCAAATACAGGACTGGCAATAATAATTACATTTCCCATCTGCCATACATGCAGAACTAGGGTACTAGTTATGAACTCAAGGTTGTGCGCAAATGCCATTTTAAAGCAATGGCTATAGATAAAGAGGTATTGTTGCAGGGTACCACATAAGATGAAACAGTTCAAAGATGCCAAACAAAAAAATCCACCAGTTTTACCAGCTTGCCTCATCAAGCCACCAAAGAGAAACTTGCAGAAAGGACCAGTCTCTACTAGGGATGGGCATAAACCAAATTAGGAACTGAAATCCACAAACCTTGGTTTGTGGATTCAGTTCTCCCATGAACTGCCCTGTTTTCACGGACGTTCATGAGGTTTGTGGGAGCGATTCATGGGCCACACATGCTGGCGCCAATGAATCAATTGTCCAGGGAATGGGGGGTGGACTTCTGCAGCCCTTCTGCAGCCTGGAAATACCAATAATGACCCTCCAAAGCTTGATAGGCATCACTGGCTGCCAACCAGAGAGCTCCCATTCTGCTCTAAGCCTCTAGCTTGCAGGGGGGTCTGTTCAACTCACACCTGAACCTGTGGCTTCTGTGATTTAAGAACATAAGAACATAAGAACATAAGAGACGCCAATGTTGGATCAGGCCAAAGGCCCATCCAGTCCAACACTCTGTGTCACACAGTGGCCAGAAATACCAGTGCCATCAGGAGGTCCAGCAGTGGGGCCAGGACATTAGAAGCCCTCCCACTGTTGACCCCCCCCAAGCACCAAGAAGACAGAGCCTTGTGCTAAGCAAGTTGTTCTGGAGGCACTTGCTTTGGAGGGAGGGTACTACTCAGTCCCCCAAAGCCAATCTGCTCACAACTTGGAGGACAAGTAGAGGGGCATCCTGGGGAGGTCCGCTGCAAGTTGGATGCCTCTAGCTTGCAAGGAGGCTGTTCAACACACTCCTTCCCGTTTTGCACATTGGACCCTCAGATCTCCCCCCCCCCCAAGCCAATCTGCACACAACTTGGAGGTCAGGTAGAGGGGCATCCTGGGGAGGTACGCTGTAAATTTGAAGCCTCTAGCTTGTGCGGGGGACATTCAACACACTCTCCCCCTTTTGCATTTTGGACCCTAGGATCTCCCCCCCCCAAAAAAAACCCCACTCTGCACACAACTTGGAAGGCAGGTAGAGGGGCATCTTGGGGAAGTTCACTGTGAGTTTGAAGCCTCTAGCTTGTGCGGGGGACATTCAACACACTCTCCCCCTTTTGCATTTTGGACCCTAGGATCTCCCCCCCCCAAAAAAAACCCCACTCTGCACACAACTTGGAGGGCAGTTAGAGGGGCATCCTGAGGAGGTCCACTGCGAGTTGGATGGCTCTAGCTTGCAAGGCCATTTGACACACTCCTCCCCCTTTTGTACTTTGGACTCTAGGATCTTCCCCTCCCAAGCCAATCTACACATAGCTTGGAGGGCAGATAGAGGGGCATCTTGGGGAGCCTCTAGCTTGCAGGGGGGACATTCAATACACTCCCCCCCTTTTGCATTTTGGACCCTAGGATCTCCCCCCCCAAAAAAAGCCAATCTGCACACAACTTCGAGGGCAGTTAGAGGGGCATCATGAGGAGGTCTGCTGTGAGTTGGATGCCTCTAGCTTGCAGGGGGCGCTTGACATACTCCCCCCATTTGCACATTAGACTCTAGGATCTTCCCCTCCCAAGCCAATCTGCTCACAACTTGGAGGGCAGGTAGAGGGGCATCCCAGGGAGTTCCGCTGCAAGTTTGATGCTTCTAACTTGCAGGGGGCTGTTCGACATACTACTTCCCTTTTTTGCACACTGGACCCTGGGAACTTCCCCCCCCCCAAGCCAATCTGCTCACAACTTGGAGTGCAGGTAGACAGGCATCCCAGGGAGTTCCGCTGCAAGTTTGATGCCTCTAACTTGCAGGGGGCTGTTCGACATACTACTTCCCTTTTTTGCACACTGGACCCTGGGAACTTCCCCCCCCAAGCCAATCTGCTCACAACTTGGAGGGCAGGTAGAGGGGCATCCTGGGGAGGTCTGCTGTGAGTTTGATGTGTCTAGCTTGCAGGGGGGCTGTTCAACACATTCATTCCCCTTTTGCCCACTGGACCCTGGGATCTTCCCCCCCAAGCCAATCTGCGCACAACTTGGAGGGCAGGTACAGGGGCATCTTGGGGAGGTCTGCTGTGAGTTTGAAGCCTCTAGCTTGCGTGGGGGACATTCAACACACTCCCCCCCCTTGCACTTTGGATCCTAGGATCTTCCCCCCTTTAAATGGCTTTAAATGGGATTGCTTTAAGTGGCTTTTGCAAGCTGTGCCATATCACAAACCATTTTGTTAAATGGAAAGTTTCATGGGGGGTTCATGGTTTGTGAGACCTCACAAACCATGAACCTTCATGAACCTCTATTTTCCCAGGTTATGCCCATCCCTAGTCTCTACCTCTCAATTTAACTTACCTCATGAAACGGAGAGAACACCTTCTCTTCCTTTTGCTCTTTAGAGGGTAGCAGTTTCTGTTTCCCTGGTGATATTTAAGTCAAGGCATGGATTAGAATCAGCTTGAAACAGAATCTTGTAGTCATAAAAATTTCTGCTGCACATAACTGAGCATTAAAGATAGGCTTTAGTCCCAAGTCTTTGCTATATGTGAAGAACAGCCAAGCTTTGCTTTTCAAAAGTGTAAAAATAGAATCTCACAGCCAGAAACAAATGAAAAGGAATGCCCTCCATATCAAAGAACCCTAATGGGATTTTCTCCCCATCTCATATACAGGGCCACACAGGCAAAGCATTCAAATAAACAAGGCACAAAAAGGGTCAAGCCGAGGTTTCTACACATCTCTTCATTATGCACCTTCAATTTGTTTCCCACCCCAAAATCCTCATCAAAATATGGTGTAAACATATTTGTTTTCAAGCCAAAACAGATGCCCAAATTTCTCCACTAAAGAGCTTTGAAAATATTGCATCAATAGCACAAAATGAGATAGTGCAAGAAAAACAGGCATTCAATAGAGGATTTAAAGGAAAGCAAATAAGGGAATACTTACCCATAGATTATATCATGCCCTAAAGCTTGGGGGGAAATTCTGGTTAACTACAGGAGAAATTTTGAACCTCCACCACCTTTGGGGAATTTAGCCCCAAGACTTTAATTAAAGAGCCATGTTAGAAGTGGAAAATTGCTACCCTTCAGAGTTTGCTTCCCATTTTTTGTTTTATGTTATATTGTTGGGTATAAAATATTTTTTATTTTAGTTATGCTTTATGCGACAGAATGGGCCTCTTCCAGGTTTTCCCAACACGAGAGGCTTTTCTCTCTCTCTCTGGTAATCCACCACTACCACTTGACCTTTGTAGGGATTGCTCACAGGGAGGGTCAGGACTTCCAGCTTCCCTTCCAAGTTCTGAGGCCTCACCTCTGTGTCTCCCACTGCCCAGCACATGGTCACCACGAGGACAGTTTACTGCCTTGTGCGCCCCTGGAGGGAGGATAGCCACTTGCCAAATGCCTGCCTTTCCCCGGCACTCCTTTTAAAAAACCTTGTCCAAGACAGTGGAGGTCTATGTGGTACAGAGAACAACTACCAGCACAAAAGTTATAAAGTATTTATTAAAATGTTCACGAGCGTAAGAACATAAGAACATAAGACGCCAATGTTGGATCAGGCCAAAGGCCCATCCAGTCCAACACTCTGTATCACACAGTGGCCAGAAATACCACGTGCCATCAGGAGGTCCACCAGTGGGGCCAGGACATTAGAAGCCTGTTGACCCCCCCAAGCACCAAGATGACAGAGCATCACTTGCCCCAGAGCCCCTATCTATACCTTGTGGCTAATAGCCACTGATGGACCTCTGCTCCATATGCTTATCTAATTCCCTTTTGAAGCCGTCCATGCTTGTAGCCGCCACCATTTCCTGTGGCAGTGAATTCCATGTGTTAATCACTCTTTGGGTGAAGAAGTACTTCCTTTTATCCGTTCTAACCCGACCACTCAGCAATTTCATTGAGTGGCCACGAGTTCTTGTATTGTGAGAAAGGGAGAAAAGTACCTCTTTCTCTACCTGCTCTATCCCATGCATAATCTTATAAACCTCGATCATGTCACCCCTTAGTCATCATTTCTTCAAGCTAAAGAGCCCTAAGTGCTTTGTCCTTTCCTCATAGGGAAAGTGTTCCAACCCCTTTATCATTCGAGTTGCCCGTTTCTGCACTTTTTCCAAAGCTATAATATCCTTTTTAAGGTGTGGTGACCAGAACTGCA